GTAGCATTTGTCTCTCTGTGATCCTGCCTCCATCTGCTTCCATCCCATGGCCTGCTTCTCTTCTGTTTTAAATCTGTCTTTGCCTCCTTCTTCTAAGGACATTTGTCATTGTAGAGAGCACCTGGGTAATCCAGATGAGTGTTACATTGTGGATCCTACTGTTACAGGAAAAGAGGGTTCTTGGCTTTCATGCAGGAAAGAATTCAAGCATGAGCCGGTGTAGAGTTTAAAGAGAAAGCACATTTGTTTAGCAGAGAGTAAGTAAGAAAAGAAAGGCAAGGCCACCTACAGACAGAGTGGAGGTCTCTAATCGCTAGTGGAAGAGAGACCCTTCTCTGTCCCCCAGGACTAGGGTTTATATATGTTTACTTCTTCAAGGTACCAAAATAATAGGGACAGGTGTATCCTTAACTTTTATAAGGTACAGCCTGTGGCTAGTTTGTAATAGGTTTAATTAGGGGAATGGCTATTACAATGGCATCTCTTTGCTCAATAGGCTTCAGATGGTCTGTTCTGTGTGACTGATTAACATCTGCCCAAGTTCTGTGTCTGGCCGCACGTAGGCAGCAGGCTTGGAATCCAACCTCCTAGTTCCTTCTTCTGTAAAAATCATCCTCATGCCCCTTTCCCGTATTATGACTTGGGAAGACAGGTGGAGAGAGAGGAAGGTGGTAGGATAGGGAAAGGAGTATCTACCAATTGACCAGAAACAAGATCACTAGAGGTAATTAAACTGTAAGATGTTAAATTTTAAATGAGCCCCTGATAACAACCGTGTGTCCTCACACAATATTCCCACTCTTTTAGCCCGTCTAAAACACAACCAGTTGCATGAAGCCTTTCTAGACTCCACCCTCTTCATCCACAGCGTATATGATTGACCTCATGTGGCTATGGAGCACTTGCATTGTGGCCAGTGTGACTGAGGAACTGAATTTCTAACTTTGTTAAAGTTTAATTAAAGTGCAAATAGCCATGTGTGGCTAGTGGCTACTCTATTGCTCAGCATTATTCTAGAACCTTGGTTTCCCCTCAGGAAGTAAAATGAATTCTCTTCCACTTTCATCTGGGTAGGTTTGTAATTGACTGGTAACCAACAGCATATGGCAGAACTGATACTGCATGACTTCTGAGGCTAGGTCAGAAAACTATGATGCAACTTCTACCTTACAATTGACCTCTAGTGATCTGGTCGCTGGCTGGCTGGCTGATACTTTTCTTCTTACTCTCCCTCCTAAATTATTAAGTACTCCTCACTTCAAAAGGTGGAACCTAGCTCCCCTCACCTTAAATGTGGGCTGAATTTAGGAATTTTAACAGGTGTAATGTGGCAAAAGTGATGGTATTAGGCTTCTGAATGTAGTTAATAAAAGACAACATGGTTTTCTCCTTGCTCGCTCTCTCTTGAATCACTCCCTGTGGGAGAAGCCAGTTGTCATGCTGGGGCAGCTCTTTGGAGAGGCCAATATGGCCAGGAACTCAAAACTTCTTGCTGACAGCCAGTGAGGAACTGAGGCCTCCAGCCAACAGCCATGTGGGTGAGCCATCTTGGATGCAGATTCTCCAACTCCAGTCCAAGCTTCAAATGACTACAGCTCCTGCAGATATCTTGACTGCAATCTCCTGGGATACCCAAGCCAGAACCACCCAGCTGGCCCCTGCCAGATTCCTGGCCCTTAGAAACTGGGAGATAATGAATGTTTGTTGATAAGTCACTACATTTAGGCTAGCTTATTACACAGCAATGAATAATTAATGCAGTGCGAGAATTTTTTTCTGTGAGTTACCGTTTCTTTAAAAATATTAGCTATCTCTGTTATAGGAAAGGGATGCCTTTGGTATCTGAATTGGTGGAATTCTGGATTATTTGTTCTCCATTTGCTCCCCACCTTCCTGGGATCATTTTTCCACCTGTCTTTGCTCTGCTCTCTGCTACAAGTGGCTGATTCCATCCATGGACTCCCTTGCATTCAGGCTTCTGTTTGGCTTCCATCCATGGAAAGCACTGGTAGGGGAGCAGAGGGCAGCAAGACAGAGGTGTGGATAACTACCCTTCTGACTCTGCTTTCCTTCCTACCAGGCCCTGGGAGGCAAGAGAAGATATTACATGTGATTTTATTTAACTTCTACCTGCAGAGTTGCCGTTCACTGTGTTCAAACCCATGCATTCAGAAGAAAAGCAACTCACTTTTGGTTCTTTCGTTGAACTAGACAACAGCCTTGAATTCTCCTAAGGCAATTAATTCCACTTACTCAGGCCTGATTCCTCTACAGGCAAGATCAGGTTACACTCTCTGGATCATGTGACTGCTGTTTGTTAAATCGAGTTGGGGTAATTATTGGGGTGGAGATACGAGACAAGGAATATCAAAGGTTGACATTTCTGGAAACACCTCAGAAGCTCTTCCTGCTTTGTTTGAGAACTGACTGGGCCAAGAACACCATGTGACATGCCCCCCCCCCCACCTCCAGCAGTCAGGGAGGGGCACACCTCTGAATAAGTCAGGTGGTGAATTGGAAAGAGCCCTGGGTTGGCAGGAGGGAGATCTGACTGCCAGTCCTCACTTGCCACAAGCTCACTACCTAACCTTGGGTGAATTTCTTAACTTCTCTGGTTTCCTCATATGTCAAAGGGAAACTTACCTATCTTAACTACTTCACAGGATGGTGGTTGTGAAAAATTAATGAAATAAGATTTTGCTGTACTATTAAAATATAAAATTAAGGCACAAAGAGGTTAAGTAACTAGCCCAAGAACATACAGCAAGTAAGTGGTGAAGCTAGGATTTGAACCTAGAAAGTCTAGCTCTAGAATCCATGCGCTTCAGCACTGCGTTCTGTTGGAGCCCGTGACCCTGACTACACTCCTCCAATAGTGCTTTCAGCAGATTTCCTTTCAATATCCCCTTAGGTCTCTTGTCACTTTCCTACTGTAATTCTGTGCTATTGTGGTTACCACGCTCCGCACACCCCCATACACACATTGTTGCTAGCTCCAGGATATTGCACTTGACCTGGGGTTTCTATTGTCTTTCACAATCTTACATCCTATTCAAAAGGGTCAGGGAGATACTTTAAAAACTAATTTTGAGTTAAAAGAACTTTATTTTTTTTTCTTGAAAAACAAAACAAAACTAG